CAGTTGAGGTGGTTCATCTGGTTAGGATGCCTCCTGGACTCCTCCCTGGCGAGGTGTTCTGGACACGTCCCACTGGGAGGAGACCCAGAGGAAGACCCAGGACAYVCTGGAGGGACTATGTTTCTCAGCTGGTCTGGGAACACCTTGGGATTCCCCCAGAGGACCTGGTCCAAGCGTCTGGAGAGAGGGAGGTCTGGGTCTCTGCTGAGGCTGCTGCCCCTGAGACCTGACCCTGGATAAGAGGAAGAAAACTGACGGACAGAATCTGTCTCTAAAGGTTTCCTCAGAATGTACAGCTTGTCCAATCTAATGGTTGATGACTTATTCTGGTGTCAGATAAGAAGAAAAGCTTAATGCTACTGTTACAGTTTCATATTCTGCCACAAATGTTGGCATATTTTGATGTTTATTACATGGATCAAAATGTAGTGATGTTAAATTTCATCAGCAGCTGCTGCCATTTTCTTTCCAAAGGTAAGCTGACATGAAGAACATTATTTTATCTGCCTTTGTTCCAAATTTGATAATGATTTGAAATATTGAAGTATGCTTTTTCGTTAATTAGTAAAATGTGTTGACGCTCGTCTTCATGTCTCGACACATTAACAGGCTGTCATTGGTTGAGGAACTTTGTTTACAAAACAGATGTCCATTTGTTTTTTAACTAGTTTTCATTTCCTGGCTTTCTAAAACACATTAATTCGATCTGATGTTGCAGTTTGGTGAGATGAGCCTTATAACAGTATTTGACACCTTCTCTGCTACTTTTGCATTAGATTTTATAACGTTTTATTTGTTTTTATGAAACAAGATCCTTTCTACAAAAACCAGAATGTGAATCTTTTCCTAAAATTTTATGGGATTATCTTGAACACTAAGTAAGTTATGAGCAAAAATAGGTGAAATGGTTACAAATTATTACAAATTTGTGACATATTGAACAAATTGGTTCAGCTATGAACTGCAGCAAGAAAGTGAGCTGATTTCACCCAAACAAACATCCATAACTTCCTTCATTACTTGAGATAATCACATGATTTAGGTCAGAGGTTCTTAACCTGTGGGCCGTGAGCGCCACCTTGAGGGCCTCAAAAGATCAACAGTTTTTAACTTTGGGCCACAGAGGGCCGTGGGACCACATTGATTTTGAATAATGTGTAATACACTTTCTCACCACTAGTAGCAGTAGTGCACCACTCAGATGTTTAACAACTTTTTAATATGTAGAAGAAGAACCTTAGAAACCTACTGAGAATGGAAACTTATTTTAAATGAAAAGTAGAAGCAAAAATTTTCAAATACAGTTGCAGATACAACTATATTTTAATTTGTACTTTATCAAATATATTTCCACAGGTTTTTTTAATTTGAAACATTTATATTAAACATTTTTAATTTATTCATTTTATGCCCGCAATTTTACACGCACACACAC